GGGGGGAGATAACATTTCTCTTTTATTTCAAACAGAGCTAAATTGATTTGGCAATTTTCTTAAACACTTTTAATTTATGTAACACTTTTTCATAATGCATCTCAGCTGTGTGGTGCCAGCATCCATTGACAATTAGTGCATATCTGCAAATTGCAGTTCAGTATAATTCATCAGAAGAAATCTACCTCTTTTAGAAATTTCTTTCTTCAGTCTTTGGGAGCATAAAATATTGGGGGTTTTCCCATATAAAGGTAGACTTTTGGAGTCGGTGCTAAATCTGTGTCTGTGCTGTACAGGCTGTTTGTTGTGATGTCTCTGTGATGAAAGCTTATATTATACATCTGATTTAGTTGGTCTAGAAGGTGCAAATCTACCCTGCCTTTTGCTATGATGTCTGCCACTGATTCTCAACCAAGGTGCCATGGCACCCCAGGGTGCCTTGATTCCCTTTCTGGGAATCCTTAAAAACATTCTGACTTGTTGTGGTCTTTCTGAATTTTTTGCAGCCAAAAAATTGCTCTATTATTTTTCCAAAATCAAAGAACAAATGAAAAATAGGAACTGTCATTTTCCCAGGGATGCCTTGTGCCAGTTCAGGGGTACCTTGGGTCTGAAAAGGTGGAGAATTACCAATGTATATAAAAGTTATAAAAACAAGAAGTGCAAACGTAACTCTATTTTTTGCACATGCAGTTCTGGAAAATCACGGTTAGGCATTTGATTATTGGAATGGCCAAGCTTAGAAAAGGCTGTAAACTTGACAGGCCGGATTGCATCAACCAGAGCCCCATGTTAAGCAAAGCAGTTGACTATATAGTTTTAAAGTCAAAGGGACTCAAGCAAATGATTAAAGTTAAGTACTTCAGAGCTGAAGAGGGGTCAAATGTGTTCATAACAAACAAGTTCTTAAGCAAAGGTACTTGTAGCATTTATAACCAAATTAAAACAATGAGCAGTATTTCAAGGACAGTTTGAACACTTTATAAAACAAATGGTTCTTTCCTTCCTGTTTGTTCCTTTGGAGGGGAAAATCCTATCTATAAACACACTGATGCAATACTAAATTTATGGAAAGGAAGTACTCAGTAGGGAGAAATTCCCAAAATGAAATATTTTTTTACACTCTTAATTTTAACACATTTTATTTAGGTATTTTGTGCTTCTGTATCCATGTTACATTAATTCACCCTAAACTTTCATGTAATTTTGTTCACCATAAAATGTGCCTACATCTGTTGCGTGGCAGAATTAAGACTGGGCCAGACCTCCACTCTTAGAAATTCCCCCTGTTGGAATGCTTAACCTTGTAAATTTTAATATTGTTAAAGGTCCAGATGGGTTAAAACACGTAGCTGGGTTGCTTACTTTTTATGTTTCATTTGTTTTTCTTTTATTGTATCCTTATTAGAAAAGAGAGCCTTTCTCAGAGTTTGCCTGCTTTTAGAGTGTTTGTGCTGAGCAAGGAGTAAAAGCCATAGCCTCTCTTTTCCTAGTCCGTAGCACTAGCATATGACCATAGCATCTCTTTTCCTAGTGGAGGCAGAAATGATGTTTTGGTCGGTTACTCCTCGCTCAGCGTGCACACTCTAAACCAGGTACTACCTTTTTCATTGCCCCAGCAGCATTGCCAACCTCACAGTGTCAAAAATCAAGAGACACTCTCTTATAAATCAAGAGATTTGGTATGTGAATCATGAGATGCTCTGTTCTAAACCCCTCTCCTCCTGGCTTCTCACGTATGTGGCCTGAGCAGTCTACCCCTGCCCCCCATCCTGCTTTCGGCTCCGGGTTCAGTGCTTACCTGGTGGGGCTCCCTGCACCCCTTTGCGGCTGAGTCCCGCTCCTGCCCAGGCTCCCGGGGACTTTGCAGCTCCGGCTCAGTTGGGCGAGAGATGTGCCAGAAGATTTGAGAGTTCTGTTGTGAGTTCATGAGTTGGACATAATTTTACTTAGAAATTTCAACTCTCACGGTAATTTTGTGAGAGTACTGCCCCAAGCATAGACTCCACAAGGAATTTTATCTGAAAGAATAAATTGGTAAAACAAAAACCTGTGATTTAAGGACTACAAAAGGAATAGAAAGGAAACAGCAGGAAGAGCATTCAGTCTGTTTTATGCTTTCTCATTGACGATAAGTGACAAATCCTTCTAGGTGTCTCTCTAATATGCTTGAACATTAATGGAATAGTGCTGACTTTGCTATAGCACAAGCCCCATTTTTCTTCTCTGACTTTCGTAAATCTCAAAAGCATCATCCTGTTATTGATAGAGCCTGCTTCTCCTATGTAGTGCTGCAAAAACTGCTACAAAGCATTCTGCTGCATGTGTCAGTGGCTTATTGTGAAGTCCCAGGAGAAAAGAAAAATTGCCGTGAGGACAGATTTCCATTTCGTGTAATAATTACATTTGAATCCATTTTTTCAAACTGGAGGTGGTGGTAGAAAAGCATCTCTAAAAGCACCTTGTTATGACATCCGGTATCCATACTTTTCTGACTGTAACCATTGCATAATAACACAAAATTCCTGTACACAGAATAGTTGTAATATGAAAGGTGGTAGTAGTAATAATAATAATAATAATAATAATAATAATAATAATAATACAGGTTCTGATCCTGAAGTGAACATCTGCCTGGGAAGACAGCTTCATTCACATGTGTTTCTTTGCTGCATCAAGGCCTTAAAGGAGCTGGTGTTACTCTTAGGTGTAGATGGTTTGCAGGCAACTTTGTTTTACTGGCTTTAGGTTAAATCAGTATCTTAGATTCTTTGGTTTCTTTCAGGAATTCCCTCTGTACTCACTGCCTTGGGCTCACTCATCAGATATCATGGATTTCATATCCATGTTAGTTTTGGCTTTGTATCAAACCAAAACCTCAAAAGCCAAACATAATATTGGACTTGTTCTGCCCAGGAAGAAATTTATACAACTAAGTGAAATAAGGCTAAAATACAAATATGTCCTTTTTTGTATAGTATCCAATACTATACAATAAAGGACATAATTTGTCCAAAGTCACAATAAGGCTGTGTTAGTTTAAGAACACTGGAGCAATGAGTATGTCTATGTGTATATGTATGTATATATTTTTTTTTTCTTTCAGAGCCTATGTTGAAAAGTATCTGCTGGAGAAATCCAGGCTAGTTTATCAGGAACACAATGAGCGGTAAGAGCCTATACTTTAAAAGTTTAGTAAGTTGATTCGGTGCATGGCACAGGTAGCTTTAAAATGCTGTTTTAATTGTAACTTCTGTGTTTCACAGTCCTACGTTATGCTAATTCAGTTTGTAGAAAAGTTACCTGTGCCTTGACAATATAATGTATAATTAATATAAAGATGCAGTGCTCTGGTCAGCTGGGTACGCAGGTTTAAAATCTCCTCATCGTATGCCTCATAACTACTGTTAATTTTAACAGGAATTATTCACATCAAAGGGAGAATAGACCACACAATGCCCACTTTTATATCTGTGGCATACCCAAAGCTCTCGGTAGCTGCTGTTGGAGTTCTGCAAGCCCAAGTAGTATAAATTGCACTCCTGCATTATTTTGAGTCGAGGACTATCTATGAGTTGTACACAGCTTCTTACACAATAGAGGCCTGTCATCAAGCTATTAGGTGCTATGGTAATATGTGTAATAAGTAGTAATAAAATTAAATCATTTTCTTTTGCCTAATCATGGCCTCTTGCAGAGCTAGGTTAGGGTTTTCAGAATTTTCAGCCCTCTCAGAGCTATATCAGTAGAGTTATTGATGCATTGTAAGGAAGCTCGTTGACATTTTGGATTAATTTATTAGTTACGTGCATTTATCAAGCATCATCACATTGTCTAGGAGGTCTTTCATAAAATTATTCTTGGAGTAGCTGTGTCTTCAGAGAGTGTAAAGGGCCTAATTCTCCATTGTTCTGCACTTTGATCATTTATAGCAGTGGATGTAAGCAATGGTCTCAGCTGCTCCCTCTACCTAATATTGCTGCTGGTGTAAGACATAAAAGCCTGAGCTGTCACTGTAGGTAATTAAGTCCTTTTCCAATATAAAGCTTTGTAAATGAGGTCCAGGTCTTTTAAGTTGGATTTGGAGCTAGACAGGCAAATGTTATGAAGCAACAATGTGATATGCTTATATGGATTTTGGCTTAAATGCAGTTGAGGAGCTGGATCCCATCTCAACAGACTTGTATCTGTCAAGAGAGTAGAACCTGGTCAGGATGGGACAAAGGGACTAGGAAGATGGGAGGCTATAAACTCTATAGAAGGTCTTCAACAGATGCGATTCTGCTACTATATATTCCCGAGAGGGGCTGGGATATAATTACAGTTTTTTTTAGTGTTGCTTAAGAAACTGGGAGGCTGCATATAGTATCTGATCTGTACTCATTCCACAGGTCTGTTGAACAGTCCAGACTCCCTAGGGAGAGATGCTTCATGCTCTCAGGAGATCTTGAAAGAAGATTCTCTGGGGGCGGTTTCCCCCCCCCATACACTCTCACTGTATATCCTCCTGCCCCTCCTATATCATACTTCAAATTTCTATCCCCTAACATGTGGCCCTTCCCTTTTGGCTTTCTTCTGTCTCCTCTTTTTATTCCCTGATTCTTTTCCAGACTGATCTCGTAGCTCAAACCAAAAGTTCAAAGACCCATGCTTAACAGTACATCCAAACAGTGATTCCATTTGTCCTGAATCAACAAAGTTCTGAATGTAGCTTTCAAAGAAAAAAGCATAACAACCCCCCCATGTAATTTTTCCCAGTATCATCTACAGATTTTTTAAAGTCTATTTTAGAAGCTTGATAGTTTCAGCCTTGAGGCTCTTGAATGTAGATGCTTAGGACTGAAAGAAATGTTGTGGGTTGTTGAGTTGCATGCCCTGCAGTTGTAGACAACCACTTGACATAGTCCCTTTCATGAGCTTGATCCTAAACTCCACCTTAAATGCTTCACTGAGGTGGCTCAGGTATATCATGGAGATCATTGTTGCCGTGGCTCCTAGTCTTCTGATCAGCATAGTTATCCTTTACGCTTGTTCTAGGTTGAATTGTTCTTTCTTAAACACAGGTGTCCAGTATTGGGTTATGTCTCACCAGTACCTCATACAGGGATATCCATACTTGCCTATTTCTTTGGAAATTGCAGATGTCTTTGCCTTTTTCAAGGCTGAATCCTACTGGTCATCCATAGTCATCTTATGATCAGCTAGAACACTGATCTCCCTTTCTCTCTCAGCCATTTCCATCTGCTTACAGCAGAAATTCTTGTTATTGGTCCCTAAATGCATGATCTTGCACTTTGCACTATTGAATTTCATCCTGTTTAGTTACTACAGTCCCCAAAGTCACCTTTTTCTTCCTGCATTGATATTCAGATGCTACTCTCAACTTTGTGTCATCAGCAAATTTCATTAACGCACTCTTGATTTTGTGCCAAGGTTATTGATGGAAATATTAAATAAAATTAGTCCCAAGGCTGAACTCAGTAACCTCCCTGCAGCCCAATATCTCCCTGTTTGGCACAGCCTTGATCTATAAAGGTCTTCCGTGAGATATTTTCCCATAATATAATAACCATTTCTTCTCTAATTTTCTTGCCTTCTGCATATTTGTTTATACATAGTTTTTATTTCATGTCAGCTTCAGGTTCCTTCTCCAGGTGATTTTCACATAACATAAGTAATGTTTCATCTCTATCCATATACAAAAGGAGGTCATCTATTCATGTCACTGGTATTAGTTGTCTTGGTATGTGCAGACATGAAGCCTGAGGTCGGGGGCTCAGAATTTTGGGAGAACTTTGTGTGCAGTTAGAATTGGCTTATCAATAACTTATCAGAAACCCTCCGCAGCAGTGGCTGGATTTTCTGCAGTGAGCAATGATTCCTAGACTAAAGGTCAGGCTACTGTATGTTTTAAATTGCTGGCAGTTTGCCCTCTCTCAAAGACATCTTAATGATCCCGTCAGCATTGGGTCCCATCACACCTGTGGTTTTCAGCAGCCGTTAATTAAAAGAAGTAAAAATTACAATCTCATGTCTCTGTTGTTTAATATACTTAATTGTTAGTGTCCATATGTTTGAACTGGGTGGTTGGAACTAGAGGCAAAGCTGGTCATTTATTTTTTAAGCTGTTTCACAGTTGAGTAGCCAGGGAGCTAGTGTAACCTTTTTTATAGTCTGTATAAACTGCTTTTGCTCTTTTTTTTTTTTTTTTTTT